GTGTTTTTCCTACGGCGCATCACGTAAGTACGAGAGAGCCGAATTCGAAAATAGATCGCCGCTTATTTTCGGTGAATCAGCTTCTCTCGCCTTCCCTCGAATCGTCCTTTTTCCTTCTTTTTATTGTCTTTGGTTGCCCGTCCACCGTTTCGCTTCCGAGCGTCATGGCAGCCGCAGTTCGGTTTATTATTACACATGGTATTCTCACGTCCCCCGGACGTCATATAAGCTCCTTCTCTTTCTGTCTTCCCGCCGCTTTACTCGCGTCCTCGCGGGGCTTATTAAAGTCTCGCGACAGAGAGAGTACTTCGAAAACCCTGAACTTCAGACCTGAAGCTGACTGACTCAAGGTCGGCCTGAATCAGAACCAGCCAACCGGTTTTTCGGAGAAGATTCGGAGAAGAAATGTAAGATTACGCCTTCGCGAACTCCGCTCGTGCAACGCTTTAAATCTGCCTTGCCAGACATGGCTCTATCGTCTCTCTTTTGTGAATTAAATCGCCACTTTCAACGAGAAAATTATATTTCGATTTTCTGGCATTCACTGGTTTGAATGAACTTTGAAGTATTAATTTGTAATAAGTTGCTACATATAATCTGCAATTTGAAAAATAAAGATAGAAAATGAGATAATTCTTTGTTAACTTTTATTTTTATCTAATTAATAATTAGATAAGAAATATTCTTTTTTACTATTTATATTATTTCTACCAGAACTTAAGAATTTCACCAATAATTACAGCAAATAAATCAAAACTCGTGATAACTTGTTCAACTTAGAACATAAATTTGTTATATTCATTACTTAGTAAACAACATGCTGAACTTTTACGATCGATCAAAATTACTGTATTTTCATAGCTACCGGAAATGTACATTCTATTTCTATGATTTAGAGTTCAAATCTGAAGTTCCATTCTCACATTGCTTAAGAAATTGCTTATTTACAACAATAGTTTAAGAAATGCTTGCGTAATTTATGAGCCAAGAGAAAAAAATACTTTATGGACTAATGTGTCCGGTATTTGCATAAAGTAATTGAAAAGTATTACGCGGGAATTTAGAAAGTGCGTCAGAAACGCAACGTCGCTAACACCATCAATTATCCTTCACATCCTCCAGATATTATCCAGATATTTAAAAAAAAATTCAAGTTTCCAATATCCCTCGAGATATAGTATAATGATTAAACTTACAAAATAGAAAAGCATTTTAAACATACATTTCATTATAGTGTAGTTAATTTTATATCCACAAATATTCATGATGAGATATCAAATATCGATTTGGTTAACATTGGAAAACTCTGCTAGCAATTTCTGTCGCTATTCGTCATTAACATTTAACAGCATGGTTTGCGAAACTGGTTATACGTCGAAAAAAAAAAGGACTAGATAGATAACGAAAAGTGGTTTGAAAAATATAGAACACTCGCTTACATTAATTACGTGGCATCTATGATAAAAATCATTTTAAGGAACTTTATCGTTATATAACTTTACTATCGCCAACAATTCCCGAACTTACGATTCGATATTCGCGAACCGTAAAATATCACCGTTCGTGGCGAAACGATTGAAAAATTTTTCTCTTGTCAGTATAACAAGATACAAGTGCCATTTCTAAATTGATAAATGTCAAATTTAGAATAAATATTTTAAGTCAATTGTCTGCTAAAATTTCCAGTTTTTTCCAAATTAATCTATTAATTTAATAGTCTTCATTAAGAATAAAAAAAATAGATACAATAATAATATTAAAAAAATGGTAAATTATGCAGGTGTATAATTAATCTGTAAAAAAATTATTAATATATGAAGCACTGCTAGAAATTTATAAGGAAAATATCCAATAACTTTTGAGTCAGCTGAATAGTAATCGGAATGTGCTAAAATCGTGATTGTTCAGCTTTACGATTGACAGTTTCTATGATCGTTAAATTACCATAAAGCAAAGGAACATCAAAGATTGTTAAAATAACAAATCATATTCTGCTAATTCTAATTTAATAATGCAATTTTTGAAAAAAAAATTTACCATCAAGACAAATATCATTTAAAAAAATCTTAAAATCAATATCTATTTTCTTTTATCTTTTTGTTGATCATATAATTATTGAAATAATTATCATTGAAGAAACATATTGAAGAAACATTTAATTTCTTATCAGCAATGTGATGTGAAATGAAGAATTTCCATAATAACTTCTTAAATTATTAAAAAAAAAAAGGACAAAATTACCAATGAACAATTTTTCTTTATTTAATATATGAAAAGTTCTATAACAACTGTTAAATATATTGCAAGCAGTGAACAAGTTGTTTAAGAAAAAAGGAATATCCAAACATGATTAATAAATCTAATTGAATCGCATATGTTGCTTTGTAGAAATAAAAAAAAAGATACATACATAACCTTTATCATGACTCATTGTATTTAATTGTTTTATCTTGATTCCACTGACTTATAATCAAATAAAAAATTATTTTGAAAAATAAATGGACAAATTTCTTTCTTATAATAATTTGTCTTTCTCAAAAATAATAATATGACAAAATAATAATATGGCAAAATCATTTATATTTGTATTTCTATAATTGTATGATATTTGAAATCTTAATTTGAAATTTAAAATATTTAAGATTTCAAAATCTACAATGACAAAAAGATGTATTTACTTAGATTAATCAGCAAATCAAGGATTTCATCTTATATTAAAATATTAAGAAACAAAACAGATAAAATATTCTTTTTGATTATTTATACCTGTTCTAGCATATTTTGAGGTCAAGAATCTTTGTTTAAACAATGATCTATAATCTTCGTTTCCTGTATCCTCTTAAACGAAACTAAAAACGTGGAAGACTTGTTTCATGTTAGAGAATGAACCTCAACCAACAGAAGAACAATACACTGTTTTTTTCTCTGGTTTCTTTCTCTTATGTTTCTTAGAAAGATAGTTTAATAGTATATTCGCAGAATCACAAAAATATTTTAAAATTTTTTACGAGTTGTTTGTGCGAAATTTTCAAGATGGATAATTCTAAAATTGATAATGATTTTACTATTTGATTATATTTTTTATTGAAAGCATTAATAAATTAATTAAAATCTGATAAGAATTTTTAAGGTTACTTTTATAAAAATGTTTAAAAATTAATAATGAAATAATAATATATAGAAGTAACAACAAATTGAAAAACACTGACGCCATATTATAATTCATCGATGATCGATTGTAGTATCGATATTAATCATTTATCGAAGAAATTCGATTTGACGATATTGGATAAGTATACTATATTATTTCAATGGGTACAATAGTTTGACGTCATTGTCGATTGTAACGAACAAGTGGTAAACTATCGATAATACTCGATCGTAGCGATCGATTCACAATTGGCGGTTCGTCAACCACTGTTACTAAAATCTAACCTTAATTTTATTCAACTTTTATTCAAATTTCATATCTATCCTATAATTTTAGTTATTTTATCAATAAATAAACATATTATTTATGATGCTTTCATAATTATGATGATTAAGATGATTATTTGGATAAAAGATAAGCGACTGATAAAAACATCGTTGCTTTTAAGGTAATTTTGTCAGTCACGAGAATTGATAATCAAACCACGTGTAAAAACCATTCCTATTGTTAAAATATAAATATTTTTTAAAAATCATTTTAAAATTTAATTTTAGCTGATCAATAATATCTTTATCAAAGCAATTAACTATATGTCGATCCAAACGATGATTTAGCGGCTTCTTCGAACATTGCCTTAATAAATTCGCTTGACCCTTTTACCGAACTTTTACTTGCACGTGATCAATTATTATTCGTTATACAAATTATACAATTCTAAATGTACATACATATATTGAAACATTTTGACTTTAAAAATATTAATAAAGAAGTTATTATTATTTGTTAATATTATTTGAAAATTTTTGACAAAAGTTACATTTGACAAGATACATTGAAAAATAAAATAAATTTAACATGTTTTTTTATATTTATTTTCGATAAGATTTTCATTTTTTTAGAAAGAAATAATCTCAAATTTTATATAATGATATATAAAAGATATATTATTTTGAAATGCTTGTATTTATAATCGAAATTACTTTATTTTATAATATAATTATTTTAAGAATGTTGTAAGTATGAATTGCAAAATAAATTATATATGAAGATGTATAGTCCATTTAGAATAAAAAAGTATTTTTACTATCATGTTATATATCATTTTGTGATGTATTTATAATAATCTATATATCACATCAATAAAAGCGAGATGAAATGTTTAATTTCGTTTTTAATAGTCACTCATATTCCAAACGTCAATGACATAAAATCTTATGCATCTTCCATTTTGTGTACATTTTCAACAAAAATTTGAATAGAAGCTGCTTACATAAATAACAACTTTACTAATTATTTACTAATTATTTTTTATTAATTAAACTTGAAAGTAAATAAACATCAAATAGTTTTTTTTCATAAAACTATTGAAATACTGATAAAAATCATAAATTTTATTATATTTTATGCAGATATCCTTTATATATCTATTAGAAATTACGTCACAGTCAAAACATTTCAAATACTTATAAGAAAATATGAAAGAAAGATTAAATTGAACTTACATTTCAACTGATCAGTCTATCAGAAATGTCACACAGCATTCACCCACGAAACATGTCACATCACAGTTGCAATCACAAGAAGTGCCAACGTCGAAACAAAGACGTCCTCTTTCGAAACTACGATTCCGCGCGATTCAATGTGTTCGTTAAAGCGATTCCACGAGACTCTTACTTTTATTTATCGTGAACGAGAGTTTGTGTTTGAAGGAAGCTCGATTATTGGTTACACCTGGATGACACCTGGAAAACTTGTTTCGCCAAAGAAAGCGAACGCCGATCTTTCAGGGTGCCTTTTGTGTCTACCTTGCACATAAAACTTATGTGATCTTATGTGCACACGCCACGGTGTAACACACGAAACTGCCGGCTTAAAGGAACTCTCTATGCAGTAGAAAGAAGGTGGTGGAAGAAGAGAGGAAGGCGTTCGAAGGCACAACAGAGAAAGAGAATCAGCCCATTCCTTCTGTGTGTTCCACGTAGTTGTATTTGTACGTATCAATACATGTGTATATATATATGTGAATATACATGTTCACATATAAGCATTCAACTGGCGAGTACAGGAAAAAAATACATCTTTTCTGGAAAAATTTTTCAACCTAAATGTAATTGAAGATATTTTATTTTCTCATTTCAGTAGAGGGCGCTAGTAGAGATATTTTTGGGCCTGTTTTGAAAGCGTAGTGAAATTAGAAACATCTCGAAAGAATCTATGGGATTGTTCGTATGTACGCGCGTTCGAGGTTATGTATATAGGCGTTCATGATCATTGGTCCTTTTGGAACGGAGGACAAAGAGTTTTGAAACACCTAGAAAGACAAGCTGACTTGGACATTGCGGGTACAAGATTTTATTAAGATTATTGTTAGAAGAAAAAAAATTGTTTTTTTAAATTTTTAAAAGATTTTATTCTTTTCTGCATATATCATTATAATATTTAAATCAAATGATTCTCTTTAAAAAAAAAAGATAAAATTTATAAGAAAGATTTGCATAGTTTTATGAAATATATAATTTATAGATATTATATATTTGATATTATAAAATATTATGTGATTATTAATCTCAATGCTTTTTGAATTGATTTAAATTAGCTGTGTGAACATTATTTAAATTACTAGTCGATATCCAACGATTGGCAAAAAAAAAAAAAAATGTATACATCATACAAGATACATAAAGGAAATGGTTCAGAGAGTAATCTAAATGAATGGAAAGGCGCGCGCGCATTTCCTTTCGTCTCGAATAAAACGTTACTCCTTAACGACCTAAGTGCACTTCCTGTATAATTAATTGTACTCAAGTTTGTTACGCTTCTGCAAATTCATTGAACTCAACAAATTTAATATTAGATAGATTGAAAATAATCGAACAAATGTAGCAAAATGAGTTATAAACAAAAAATATTGAAAAAAACTGACTAATTTTTAATTGCAGCAAATATCGATGGAAATTATAACATATGAGAAATATGCGTGACTGAAACAATTACAAAGAGCTATTTTAAGTCGCATGTATCTGCTTAATTGATATTTATTTTCAATTAAATGAGATCAAAAATAATTCGAAAAATGTAAGAGGTACAATCTAACTCTTTCTTTAATCAATCGGAAAATTATAACTTCACATTAGGAAGCCAAAATGTGCATCGCTCTTTTATACTATAATTTACTTATAGTTCTTCCATGTGTACATACATCTATGAAATCCAGGTAGCATTATTTCTCTATAATTATTTAAACTTTACTATATATTGTATTTTTTATTTTACAATAAAAATATTAGAAATTATACATATAAAAAAATATAATGAATTTTAATTAAATAATTTAAAAATATATTAAAATTCATTTATGTGAACTAAACTTAAATTTGAATTATATATAAATAAGTCTTGCTTCAATATGTATTGAATGTATATAGAAAGTATCGATAAAACTTGATCATATCTTCATTTTAAGTCACAATTATATTTTTAAATTATTTATTTATTATTTATTTTTTTATGAAAAATTATTTATTTATGAAAAATATATCTTGTGATTTTTTATACTAAACCGGTATTATGGCTGTATGCGTGCAAGTCTGTGAGTATCGTCTGCACTCGGCTTAATGTCAGCCAAACGAGTTGGCACGAAGTACGATAAATGCCACTTTCGCCCTGGAATAACCTATAGCTCTTGGGTATTCCCTACTTTGCAATGATAATTCATATCTTCAAATGATAAATTTTCCTATTTTTTTTTTTTTTTTTAGAATTATTTCTAAGAAAATGTATCCCTTCTGCGCTATTATTTTAGCTTTATAGGAACATTTTTCTTTCATATTTCTTATGATAACAATACTTCTTATTTTTATTTATGTAATATATAGAACAAGGCTTATAATAATATAAGTATTTGTATTAATATTAAATAGTAGCATTTAATATTAAAATAATATTATGATCTTGTTATTGATTTATTTCAGAACAACCTGTTTTCTGTTTCTTTGAAATTGTCAGCGAGTTTCAAGCTCATAGGTACGCAGACAAAAAATATTTCCCAGATTCTTGGCTTTCCATCATTAATCTCATGACAAGCATGGCCAACAGAAATCTTGTAATAAGAATAATATCCGCGTTTCTCTTCTTTTTTCATTGATATAATCACATTTTATTATTCACATTTTGAAAAAAATTTGAATCTTGTATTCGAAATATAATAATATTACATCAATAAGTCATATTTATCTATAGAAACCATCATCATTCCAGCATATTCAAAATGCAAAGAACAAGACAATTATTATTCCATGTGTGTTCCATTTGGTCTTACGATAAATACCGTTATACTGATTTGTAATAGTTATTTAGAATTTATAACATGACTACAATTGACACAATTATTAAAAAATATTATCAAGCTTTTTTCTTCTTTTTCTTATTTTTTATTTTTTATTTTTTTTTTTATTTCAAGGTTGTAAGAATCGAATTAACGAACTAAGAAGATATACAATGTTTCAGAGTCGACGACACGATAAAATTGGTGAAAAAATTCATAAGCTACGCGGCCAAGGATGACGATGGCCAATGCAAAAATACCGTCAGTGAAACGAGGATTGCTGCAGCCGCAAGAATTTTTCGAGAACGACCGTTTTCTTCTTCTTCGCGGGTAGTCCACAACGGAAAACGAGCCGCAATAAACTTTACAACGTGGCCCCGCTGACTCTCGTATATTTATAACTGGTCATTTCCACGGGGATCCTCCCGTAATTTTCGAGTCGAACAATTCTACACGTCAATGATTTTTCTTTTACTTTTTCTTCATCTTCACTGACTGAAGCTGATTTTTATAATTACAAAATGAAGAAGATCTCGAAGATTTATAAATATCTCTTCTAGCAAATATTTCTTATCTTGTGTCTCTAGTAAGACTGCAAATTAAAATCAACTTTTCTATTAAATTCTTAACTGGTAAAAATAAAAATATAATAATTATCTACTTTTAAGATATTTCAAAAAAATTAAATCAGAACTTACAAGATTATTGAGATATTATGTCATTGATTATTTCATATAATAAAATTTTAATAATATTTTAACATCTAAGTATATCTATAAGTATATCTATATATTCTAGGATTTTTCACAGCAATATTTAATTACTAAAAAAAATTTGGACATAGTTAATGTTACAATTGAAAATGTACAGAATGTTCTTTTCTTCATATTTCATTAGTAACTTTCATTTTTTTCAAGGTTATAGTAGTAGTAAATATGAATCTTTCAGAAGTTACTTAAATATTTAAACAGCTTATGTCATTTTGCATTTGAAACAGTTGTTAACATTCAACATCTAATTTATTTCTATCATATTTGAAGAAATCAAAAGCAGTCTACTGGCCCATTGATCAGCAATGTCTATCTCGACATGTCAAGTTCATTCTGACGCAACATTGAGATCCACGTGGACACTGACCAGGGACGACCAGGGACGAAAGAGGAATATCTGAACAATGATGAGTTAAACATTGATTTCGATCGGTGTCCACTGGAACGCGTCGGAAAACCACCACCCGATCGCGAACCACCCCTGCTATGTGTCAGTAGTCTGCCGACTGTTGTTCCTATTGCACGAATTTCCGCTATTCTTATAAGTATCTGTGTTAATTGAAATACATTTGTGCAAAACTATTAGGAATTGTTATAAATTTAAAAGAAAAATTGAAGATGATAAGAAAATATTCACGGAGAACAAGCAGAGGTAAAAATTGGTAAAGAAGTTTAGGTGATGAGATAGTTTTGAACGATCCATGAAATTTCCATGAATGTAAGTGAATTTAGTTACGTATTTAATTGAAGAAAAATTAAAAAGAATTTAAAATTTTATGAATTATTAATAGAAATTGCAATAAATTTTTGATCACTTATAAAGCTTGAATTCATATTCATATGAATATATATATATTTCTAGTTTAATATAAAGAATTAATAATATAATCAATTTATGTAATTTAGTTTATCTTAGTGTAAATATTTCCTATTTATAATTGCAAATATTTTAACATAATTTATAGGAAATTGAATAATTTATAGTAAATTCTCTATCTTGCTTAATCTTTATGAAAATTATGATATAATAGATATAAAAAAAACTGCCATAATAAAAACGTAGTAATATATAATAAAACACTTTCTTGTTTCTAATATTTTTTTTCTTGTATAATTATTTTTAAGAAAAGAATATTAAATATTTAAAAATAAAGAGAATTATTTGACAAAATTATACATCGTGACTAATAAACAGAAAAGCTTTTAATATTATAATCCATTCGAAATGATTTAATCTAAATTCGGGCGAATCGATTTTATTGCCAATCTTATAGACTTTCACTTTCAAAATATCAGCAAACTGTTATGTTTAAATTAATCATTATAAAAATGAAAGGTGTATAAAATGAACCGAGCGGAACGGAGTCGCTAAATTTCCTGATCTACATAATTTTTTTCTATCTTCTTTATATATTGAAAGTAAGAAATGCGTTGATTAATATGATACTGGAACATTTATACTTTCGTTTCATCACAATTTCATTTATTTAAATTCATGTGAAAACGAATTATTTATAAAATGTATATTTACATTTATGTTCAATTTATACTCATGATTCGCTTATTGGTGACAGATAATTGGAGAATTTCTATCGTAGAATCGCAATTAACAGCGGGAAAACTTTCGCTTCAATTACACCGACATGTATAATTATCATCCTGTATGTAAGCGAACTCGGATAATTAACCAGTCTGTTATTGTATAAATTTTCATCGAATGCGTATACTTGTCGGACGGATTCGAAAAGGCTTTCACTATTGTGAATCCCGGAAAATGAAGGATTTCACTTCTCGATTCAATTCTGAGTGGATCCAATTGTTCTCGATGAAGAGAACACTCTGTCTTGTGAGAAAGGCACCAATCGCACGATTAAAAATCAACGAAATTATATATTCGATTTCAATTAACATCGATTAATTAATTTCTTTTTCTTTTGTATATTAACGAGTTACACAATACGATAAAAATTATAAATTAAAAATCAATCAATTTATAGAATAAAAATTAGATTAATGTGTGTGTATGTTTTACAGGTGACGAATGGTGCTTGTGAAAAATTCACCACCTTCGCGAGGCGAAAGTCCTCAAAAAGAAAATGCAAGGAAAGATAAAGGGAAGAATCGCGTGTCACGTGGCAATAGTCCAGCGGATCAGACTATTTCCAGAGGAAATAGCCCAGGAAAAAGCAATTCTGGTGTCAAAGTAGTCGGGAAAAACAATTTGACGAAATCTCGTGGAAGCGAGTGAGTATATATATATATATAT